GAGAGAGAGAGAGAGAGAGAGAGAGAGAGAGAGAGAGAACCGACAATCGAGGAAGTTAGGTCCACTTACCGATGACGAAGATGCCGATGAGCCGAACTATCCCAAATTCCATATTGTTGTAGTTGAGGAGGACGTTGGCTAGATGCGCCGCTAGAAGGGCGTAAACGCCCCCGCTCGCCCCGACGAGATATACGTCCGTGTCGAACACCGACGTGCCCAACGAACCTGAAAGCACAACAAACGTGACCTCTTTACGCCGTTCGCCGCACGTATATTTTTGTTTTCTTCCCTTTTTTCGGGTTATCGACTTGGCACGTGTTTATTTGCCGTTTCTCCTAACAGCGGCGATAATAGGATAATACTCCGGGAATAAGGGAGACTAGAGACGATGGCCGGATGATTGTGTGACAAATTAACGCCGCGGTTTCAAATGACGTCTGCGACACATCCTTGTATACTTATGAGGAACACTAGGCAACTCAACAATTCAAAAAAATCATGAAACTTTATGGGCAAGTAGAGTAGTTCATCCGTAACACAAAACTATTTTTTGCTCGTACGGAATTACAGTTTTAGAGGGTGAAAAACCTTTTTGAAAAAATCGGTTTTTTTTTTTTGAAGCGAATATCGTCGAAACTATGAAAGATAGAAAAAAGTTTTCGTGAAAATTGAATGATTTCAAGAGTACTTTAAAACTATAATAAAAAAATTTGTTTATTTGTAAATTTATTGTATACCTCCAACTTCACCACAATCTTAAAAAAAATTGCTTATTATAGTTCTAAAGTACTCATGAAATTATTCAATTTTTACTTTGGAAAATTTTTTCTATCTCATAGTTTCGACGATATTCGCTTCAAAAGAAAAAAACTGATTTTTTTTCAAAGGAACGTTTCACCCCCTAATTCCGCACGAACAAAAAATAATTTTGTGTTGCAGATAAATTACTGTACTTGTACACATAGTTTCAGAATTTTTTGAATTTTTTAGTTGCTTAGTGTTTCTTGTTAGGTATAAGAAGTATATGAAGCGATTTGAAGAACTTAACACATTGAGGACCAGATGTACAGAGAATTCAGCGTAATGGTCTGCATGCTTTTGGAGACGCTTCCGACAATTTAAAGAAAAAGTTGTAAATTCATCTGTTTCATGAAAGCTACTACTTGCAATAAAAAAATTAGAAAGTAACTTTTTTCTTAAAAAAAATCAATGTTACTTTGAATTTTTTAAGTGACTTTACGCAATTTCTTTTTATAATATACATATTTTTTCATAATATTGTAAGGAAATATTAACAATTTCGATAACCAAATATAAACGAAAATTCGAATTAAATGCTTCAAATCGACCGCCACTTTGATATCGCCATGTTTGTTGAAAAAAATTCCATGGCATATTTTTTAAGTTAAAGTATCGGCAACACGTTTTAGTCACTTTCTCGAGCGATATTAACACGTTTCTATGGAGAAAATAACGGAAGAAAAAATTAGCCCTAAAAACATACTTTTTAAATTTTATTTTGCAAAAATTTTGCATAAATTGCGATTTTGTTTCAACGCTATTTAATAGAGCGACATCGAAATTGATAGGAATAGTACTTTTTATAAACAACAGACCTCATTTCCGTAGTAAAATAAATGGTTCAAATCATCGTAAAATTTCAGCACATTTGGGCGTTAATGGGTTAAAAATGACTACTAGACTATTAATAAGAGGAGGAAGAGAAAGATATATATATATATCGAAGCGTGAGGTTAGTTAGGTGGCGTAGTTAGTACAGCAGTCGCCTTTTTCTTTTCCTTTACACACTTTTTTATACTTTTCTTATATATAATCAAGCAGATTTGCTCGTGCAGCAAAAGGAAATCATGTGTGCAAGTAATCTTCATCCGAACTCCAAAAGTTCAAAATTGCATCAGAACACCGAAAGTCCTTCGCATAGTTCTCCTAAAGCAGAGGGGAGACTGGAGCAAAGTATTACGTTTTTCAGAATTTTGAACTTACTCTCAGACAACTAACTGTTGTGGTTGACTGTACAGATACGATAAAGATAAGCTTCCTCTATACTAATTATGTTTTATGGCCTCAACGGTCATGTAAACCGTATATTTTGTTGTGCAACCATCTGTCATCTTGTTTTGGTACCAGATTAAGTTGGATAACAATCTTAGGTATAAGAAGGCTACATGTAAAATGTCTATCCTGATTAGTAATTCCCGGATTTCTGCGAGAGATCTCTGTAATCCCTCGTACTGATCCTTAATTATAGGCTAACTTTACTTCGTCCGTCCATATGTTCGATTTCAATCATTTTATGAATGAAAATTGCTCTTATTACTTAAAACAGTGTGTCATACGTTTGCGGAAAACTTTATTCCAACTATAACATGTCACTTAAGTTTGTTTACTCACGAAGAATATTAATATTAGAATATTGATGCGAAATTTCGAGATGCTCAAAGAGATATTTGACTGTTCCTGAATCGGTTTCTCTATTTTTTAATTGTAATATTGCTCTGATTTTAATAGAACTCAGGAAGAAGCAAATATTCTGAACACCGTTTTACATCATGATTTTATTTCCACTATTCTGCTCATGAGAAATACATAAAGAAAGCACTTGGCCGACATACTCTTTCGGTTAACTAGATTCGATCTTCTCTACAGCTGATGAATACAACAGTAATGCTTTTTGAAAAACTTCTCTACAGTTGTTGAATACAACAGTAATGCTTTTTAGTATGATATTCATTAAAATATAATCTTTTATGAAGGGATATACAGGCAAACGAAATATACAAGAGTACTACGTTTCAGTCTTTTCAAGAAGTTAATTGTGACTTTCCGTGACGTAAAGTTTCCGGTTACTAAAGCTTTAGAAATTAGATGTTGATTCACGTCTCTGATTCTCTCTCTCTCTCTTTCTCTCTCTCTCTCTCTCTCTCTCTCTCTCTCTCTGTATTAACAAATATTGTTCATTTTATAAAAAGAAATTATAAAATATGGAAAGTCGTGTTCTTATTGAATGCTACACATATGTGGAGATATGAGACGAAATCAAGAGAGAGAAAAAAATAGAATAGATGAAAAATGTCTTTTAATCGTATTAAGAGGTTAAAGTAGGAATATAGGTTTAAAGCAGGAATAGATACGATTTCAAAACTACGCTCGTTGATTCGATACCGAGGACGGTATTTTGAAAGTGTCCAATTCCATTTGAAAAATTGCGAATTTAGGGGACGCGATCGGGACACGCTCTTCCAGGATTAATCGAATATTACATTTCCCCCGGCCACAGCGACGTTTAGTATCGAAATGGAAGAGTCACAAAGTGGGAGAAAAGTTATATTCTTATTCATTTGCGGAAACTCCGCGCCGCCTATAGCCCTTCGATTCACGGACACGGGGGATTACGTAATGAACGAAATTTTCCGAGGAGAGCGAGAGACAGAAAGGGAGAGCGCCGGCCGTTCTCTCTCGCGAAGCTGAGTTTCTCGCCGACGGAGTTTCAGCCACTGTCTGTCTGAGCGGGAAACGCTCGTTCCCGAACAACCACGAAGTGCGGAGAGGAAATTTTCCGCTCTCGTCGCCCTCGGCGAATAAAATAAGAATAATATTCGCGCAACAACTCGAAAGTTCGCACGGCCCCGCGCTCCAATTTAACGGCGCCAAAAGCCCTCTCTCTCCCGTTCCTCCCTCTCTTTCTCTGCCACTCTTTCTTTCTATCTCTCTCGTTCGCTCTCGCGCCCTCTTGCCCTTGCCCTCGCTTCCTGCAGTTCGCGCGGGAACATCTGTTGCGCCGCGCGTAATGCAGAAAACGTCGCTCGTTGGGTGAACGAGTGAACATCGTAGGAGGAATTAGGATATGGCGTATAAAGTACTTCTTCCGTAAGGATACACGTCGCACGAGTCTCGCGAACTTTTCTGCTTCGTGAGTATAAACGAGCGGAGGGAGACGGAGTTTCACAATCTCGCCATATTTTTATAATTAAATTAAGCGAGAGAAACTTTAAACTGTACAATTGAGATTAGCAAGATATGAGAAATGCCTATATAGAGAGAACGATTTGGTTGAATCAAATAAACACTTCTTTGGAATGATCCAAACGAATTGTTTCATTGATCGAACAAAATTTTGTTTGACGCAATAAAAATATTTATTTTCGGCTTAGTTCGAAAGAAATATTTTTGTTGTGTCAACTAAAAAATTTGTTTAGAATACTCCAAAGAAACGTTTATTTGATTCAACAAATTGTTATCCCTGTGTACACAGAGAGAAGATTATAATTTTCTCCTTTTTGTATAAATTTTTTTTAATTTGAATTTTTCATGTTTTCTAGTAATGTAAGGATAAATTTAGAGATTATCCTTCTAAAAGGGACATAATAAGTTTCTTAGTGCACAGTATATAAATTGCAGTGTGTTCTACTGAAACATTTAAATAGAATTTAGAATTTAAGTAGAATTTATTCTTCTAAAAGGAATATAGTAAGTTTCTTACTCCATAATACATACATTGCAGTTCTGCTAAAATATTTAAAAAGCATTTATTTAAAAGAAAGAAAACAAATAATTTCAGATCGTCGATATATTCCTCGGTAATCAAATATTATATTTTTACTATAAAATAACTTTAATAATAACTGCTATAAAATTACTTTAATTTAGAATAAATTTAATTATTTCAATAATAACTATATTATATAATATAACTGTATTATTTTAATAATACTACAACGTTACTTTGATTTAAAATCACTTTTTAATTACTTTAATAATAATTACTAGAAAATTATTTTAACATTACAAAGCTATTTATGCATTATAAATCCCAACGTGTAAGAGCTGGTCGGTATTTTTGTACGTCGTAAATCTTCACCCTCTGCACAGAAAAGAAGGTTTGGTTGAATTAACCAAATATCTGGTCGAATATGAACGATCCAGAAATTCCGAAATTTTAAAGTAACCTGATTTCTATTTAAGTTAACAAGATGTTTGGTTGACTTAAACAGAATTCGGGTTACTTCAATTTCTGGATCGTTCATATTCGACCAGATATTTGGTTAACTCGACCAAACCTTTTTTTCCGTGTGGCAAGCGAGATGTGGCAGGGAGAGTAAACGAAACGTGTAATCCTTCGAGATATGCGCGAAACGCAAGACGAACGAACACGCCTCCCATCTATCCGGGTCCCGTTCCTTCGTGCTCCATTCTCTGCTTATGTA